AAGCAGTGCTGCAAGCCAGGAGCGAGAGCTTTGAAGACTTTGTCGCGGTCGAGCTTGAGAGGCTTGTTGCTCTTGCGGCGACCGTCCGCGTTGGGCTGCCCCCGTGGACGTTTCCTGCATCGGGAACGTTCATAACCGTATGATGCTACCTGGAACCGTCTCGACGGCCGAGGATTCTGCGGCTATCTGGCACTGGCTGGCCTGCAGGCTTCTATCTCAGGCATGTTGAGCCGCATCTGGTCGGCGATCGTAGCCGAGATCCTGTTGGTGCGAGGACATGGCTCACAAACACACAGCGCAAGCAAGCAAGACTGACCGCCTCGCAACTCCTTTGGTGACGTTCTTCTCCTTTGCGAACTTGCGGCATTTTTTGAGCAAGTCCAGCGTGCTGATTTTTTTGGGCGCGTTCATCGCCTGGACAATGTCTCTGCACTACACCACCCCTCCGCGAGAAAAACATGATAGCCATTCTTCAACTTTCAAAGGGTCTGACAGCATGCGGCAGCCGAGGCTCGTTGTGCGCGAGGAAGTTGGCGAGGATAGCGTCATTAAACTCCTCGTTTGGACCACCGCCTCGTTGCATAGCGGCAAACCAAGCCGAGTTGCTGTAACGGACAGCAACGAACATTCGTCTTTCAGGCTGTATTCCTATTCTCTCACGGCCTGCTTCAAGTGCTCTTGTCACGAAGCGCTCTGACAGGATGGCAGCCATGCCCCGAATAGGCACGGTGCTTGTAGTGCAGGTATAGCGCAGCAATTCGAGACCTGCGATGGGAATTGGTATGGTGGCTGGAAGTAAGACCGCACAACATGTCTCAGTTACCTATACCCGGCAAGGCAGCCGCAAAACAGGCTAGCGGCTTCGCTCCACGCTTGTGGTGCTTTCGAAGAGCGTCTCAGGCTTCGTGAACTCGGACAGCAGGCTGGCTTCGACTGCAGCAGCCTGCACAGCTTCCACGTGGTCCTGCAAGTTGGCTTCATGTCGATGCTCTACTTGTTTAACACATTGATTTTTGCATGTCGATGCATTTCTTTTGTATCACCTTGGTGACGCGCAGAAGATCGATGAGCTTCTTCCAAAAAGAGAACATCGTATCATCACCATCGAGATCGCCTGAGGCCATGTCCTGCCATGGGCGGACAGTTTTACGATGACATAGCAGACGCATATTAAAAAGAAGGACCGTTTAACGGAATTCATATGAGAAAAGCTGCATCGGAAAACGTCACACAAGCATCAGGTGAGCTAGGCTTTCGTTCCGCATGCAAGAACGGATGTTATGACAGACGGCTGGCAGTTCATCATGAACCCTATTGGGACAAGCGTCAGCATTCACGCTTCCGATGCATGAGAGCACCATGCAGTTGTTGTGGACGATGGTACCTGCTTCGAACACCGCAGTCCGCTGGCTCCGCCCACAACGGAAGGTTAATTGCGTCAGCTCGAGACAACGTGAGTTTACACTCGCGGTTTCTGTGTCTCTATTTCCGCGTGCCTGCGGGGGGCATGACCGCGGTCAGGAGCTTCGCATCCGTCACAGTGTGCGCCGGATATCTCCATACCTTCCCACAGATCAGCAAAAAAGAACTTACAGGCAACTAGATCCGATAATGAGCAGGTACTGGCAACGTTATTCTTCACGACAATCAAAAAGACTTGAGTGGAATTCTAAAGTGCTCTGCGAGGTGCTGCCACCTCCCCGACGAGAATCTTTCCGTTATGCACAATATAGCAGTGGTTCTCAGGAAGCCTCTTTGCCGGGTCCTCCCAATTCGGGTCGCTGATGGCTTTCAGCCCAGCAGAAGTGGCTGGCCTCAGTTCGCTTTCAGGGGGTGATATTCCATTAGCGACCCCACGCTGTTTCTCATTTCATTTTTACTGTGTCAATTTGGCACGCAACACAAATTAGGCAAGTGGCATGTCCAGTTTCGCCTTCTTTAAGTAGCGGTCGTAACTGCAGCAGAAATATGTCAGCCCCAAAGCGGCGGCGCATTTGGTACCCCGGCTGATGCACTCTGCGTTCTCCTGGTCGCAGATGAACAGCCAACGGGAATAACAGGATGCTGCAGCTTGCCTCCGTGCGTTCTTGCAGCAACTCGGAGAGCGGCGTGGGTACTTCATCCTTATTGTCCCACAAGCTGACATACGAGATGCTCGAGTACATCATCCCAACCTTGCTACTATTGCACAGACACTCAGTTTCATGGGTCGTGCAGGCGAGCGACATCTTGGGTGCCTGCGGTGATTGAGATGGAGGACAGGGATGTTCGGGCAGTGTCCCAGAACTCATCCTCCTCTCCAACGCCGTCGAACGTGTACTGCACGTTCGTGTCGGCGGTCCTCTACTCCAGCAACGGTTCGGAGCAGGCAACACCACTTCTGGGGAGCAAACCCTTCGTTGATGTTTATCGCAAGCCGGTGCCATCCTGTCTGGGCCCCGCCATGCTTGCCGCGGCAGCAGACGCACAGTGTGACGCGTCCTGAGTCAAAAGAGTAACACGCGAGGGACTACAACAATTTAGTGCAGCCAAAAGACGAGAGGCGACCCCTACCGGGTCTTCTGCGTGTCGGTTTTTTGCAATAGAAGGGTAGGACGAATGACGGCAAGGAAACTGACAGCAAGCCTTGTTACCATGTTGCTGTTGTCGGGCTTGGGTTGTTTACGATCTAAGATGCTCCTTGGCGAAGGTGCTACTGCACGAACGCAGACCCGACACTTGCTTTCCTTACCGACTTATCTGTTTGCTCGGTGTTTAACTGTTGCATGTCTTTCTTAATCGTTGTTCTACGTCACCTCTTGGTTCGCTGTGTTTGCTTGTCCAGCACATGTCTTCTTTACCCCTTCACGGATTCCTTCACCGTTGCTACGTATAAGATGAGTTCGTGCAGTCGCCTATTCCCTCACGAGGGCAAGCGTAGATATGAGCTTCTAGCGTCTTGGCTTCCGAGCATCGCTTCCTGCAGAAGGTCAGCGAGACCTCTGCCCGCTGCCCAGCGGACGTCGTCGTCGGCGATGGAGTTGATCCGCAGGCGCAGCACGGCCACCAAGGTTGGCGTGAGTTCTGTCAAAAGGCAGCACAGTAAGGACCAGTCGCACAAGCA